AGTCAACATTCGTCGCTACTGAAATACAACACGAGGCAACATTCGTCTATATTGAAATTCGTCGCTACTGAAAGACAACACGAGTCAACATTCGTCGCTACTGAAAGACAACACGAGTCAACATTCGTCTCTACTAAAAGACAACACCAGTCAACATTCGTCTCTACTAAAATACAACAGGAGGCAACATTCGTCTATATTGAAATACAACACGAGTCAATATTCGTCGCTACTGAAAGACAACACCAGTCAACATTCGTCGCTACTGAAAGACAACGCCAGTCAACATCCGTCGCTACTGAAAGACAACACGAGTCAACATTCGTCGCTACTGAAATACAACACTAGACAACACCAGTCACTGTTGAAGGAAAACACCAATCAACGTCCCTCTGCATTAAAGGACAACACCGATTCTATCCATCTGTATTGAAGGACAACACCAATCAACGTCCTTCAATACAGAAGGACAACACTGATTCTATACATCTCTATTGAAGGTCAACATCAATCTACGTCCGTCTATAGCAAAGGACAACACCGATTCATATCCATCTGTATTGTAGGACAACACCAATAAATATCCGTCTATATCAAAAGACAACACCGATTCTATCCATCTCTATTGAAGGACAACACCAATCAACGTCCGTCGATATTAAAATACAACACCGATTCAATACATCTCTATTGAAGGACAACACTAATCAACGTTTGTCTATATTAATGGACAACACCGATTCTATTCATCTGTATTAAAGGACAACACCAAACAACGTCCGTCAATATTAAAGGAAAACAGCAATCAACGTTCGTCTATATCAAAGGACAACAACGATTCTATCAATCTCTATTAAAGGACAACACCAACCAACGTCCGCATATATAGAAGGACAACACCGATTCATATCCATCTGTATTGAAGGTCAACACCAATCAACGTCCGCCTATATAGAAGGACAACACCGATTCTATACATCTCTACTGAAGGACAACACTAATCAACATCCGTCTATACCAAAGGACAACACCGATTCTATCCATCTCTATTGAAGGACAACACCAATCAACGTTTGTCTATATTAAAGGACAACGCTGATTTTATCCATCTGTATTAGAGAACAACACTAATCAACATCCGTCAATACCAAAGGAAAACACCGATTCTATCCATCTGTATTGAAGGAAAACACCAATCAACGTCCGTCTATAGCAAAGGACAACACCTATTCTATCCATCTTTATTGAAGGACAACACCAATCAACGTCCGTCTATAGCAAAGGACAACACCTATTCTATCCATCTTTATTGAAGGACAACACCAATCAACATCCGTCAATATTAAAGGACAACATCGATTCTATACATCTCTATTGAAGGACAACACCAATCAACGTCCGTCTATATTAAAGGACAACATCGATTCTATCCATCTTTATTGAAGGACAACACCAATCAACGTCCTTCAATACAGAAGGACAACACCGATTTTATCCATCTCTATTGAAGGACAACACCAATCTACGTCCGTCTATATCAAAGGACAACACCGATTCTATCCATCTGTATTGAAGGACAACACCAATCAACGTCCGTCAATATTAAAGGACAACGCCGATTCTATCCATCTCTATTAAAGGACAACACCAACCAATGTCTGCATATATAGAAGGACAACACCGATTCATATCCATCTGTATTGAAGGTCAACACCAATCAACGTCCGTCTATATAGAAGGACAACACCGATTCTATACATCTGTATTGAAGGACAACACTAATCAACATCCGTCTATATCAACGGACAACACCAATTCTATTCATCTCTATTGAAGGACAACACCAATCAACGTCCGTCTATATTAAAGGACAACACCGATTCATATCCATCTGTATTGGAGGACAACAGCAATCAACGTCCGCCTATATGAAAGGACAACACCGATTCTATCCATCTGTATTGAAGGACAACACCAATCAACGTCCTTCAATACAGAAGGACAACACCGATTTTATCCATCTCTATTGAAGGACAACACCAATCAACGTCCGTCTATATCAAAGGACAACACCTATTCTATCCATCTGTATTGAAGGACAACACCAATCAACGTCCGTCTATATTAAAGGACAACACCGATTCTATCCATCTTTATTGAAGGTCAACACCAATCAACGTCCGTCTATATAGAAGGACAACATCGATTTAATCCATCTCTATTGAAGGAAAACACCCATCTACGTCCGTCTATATAGAAGGACAACACCGATTCTATACATCTCGATTGAAGGACAACACCTATCAACGTCCGTCTATATTAAATGAATGTTTTAATTATATCAAAAATAAAGAAAAGACGAGAAATATATCGATGTCAGTATAATGTAAGTGTTTGTCATGCGCCCGCCCTCTATATGCTGAAATAATTGGAATAGTGATAATGTAAGCAGGGCAGTGTAAGTAAGCGTCAGACAAATAAGTGTTTGTGATGCTGCCGTGGTATCCATGAAAAAATATATTCGCTCTGCTAAACCGACTCTAAACCCATTCTTAAACCTTACATACACATTGACTTGACAGAAACTTGTTGCCGTTAGACTTTGGAAAGGTATCCACACAAGCGAATCAGAGTCTATCATTGTCACATTTATCGGGGGAAGACATAGTTAGCATCTGAGCATTCCAGTAAGTTTTCATTTTTCATTTTGATGCGGCAGCTTTTCTGAATGGAATCTACTGGATTGTTCCTGGTTTCAGGTTGCAACAACTTATTTATAACCCAATAAAAATACACCATGCCGCATGTGTGCCGTTGATAATATTTTCAATGGAGTGGACTAGTTCAGTATTTCATTAAGGTATTGGTATGTTACATATGTCTACAAAGAGACAGCATCACAGCCAACAATGGCGGAGGCGGTTTCCATTAAAACATTCTCTAGTGGAACCAGTATCATTTACTTCCGGCGACATCTCAGCAAATCTGCAAAGTTATCACAATTATCAATGTCAGTCGTGTTGGAAATTATTACAATTTTTCATTATCTTTATAATGATGACACGACTCGTTACTAGTGGATTGGAGACTGGGAAAAGGCTGTGCCTAGCTTTCATGCACTCACTGGTTATGACACTTCACAGAATTTACGGGGAAATCGTGAATACAAGGAAGACAAGCGGAACTAGAAGAACCTGACAGCATTATTTTTCAGTTTGATTTGTTATGTAAAGCATTAACAGCAGCAACAATGATATTATATCACTGAATTATAAACAGAGTGTTATTTGGAAATAGATTCTTTAGCTTGTTTTTCCAATCCTATATGTGTCATATGTATGTTTAAACTGTTGAATATTGAAAAAAAATTAGTGTAAAATGATAATAAAATGTTTCTTTGAATGGACGAAATGATATACATTTGTGAGAACAGCAACTGTTTATCTAGCACTGGGTATTAATGTGATATTTCTCTCATTAAGTTAACCTGTTTTTTATATGCTGAATTCGATTTCATTCTGATAATAAACTCATTTACAGATCTGTATAAACTCCTAGCTCACTTCGTGTATTTCTCCATTGAATGCAGGGTTAAGTAATAAGTCATATCGTTTAATTTGTATGTGTTAGAAACTTAAACGTCATTGTCTATGTAACTATCTAAAGTTACAATAATATTTATATATTTGTTCATGACGTGCAGGACATTTCATTGACAAATGTGACAAAAACGGCAAGGGAGGTAAGTTTATGGATAAAGGATGTTAAAACTAAGAAAGGTAATGTAATGTAATTATCATCGTACTGAATGAAGGCCTGTTAATTTTTTGTGTTTATATAGACTTATTTTAACACATTGGTAAATAAAGTATTTAAATGCACACTGATTTTTCTGAACATTTACCTTACTCGATTGCTATCAGGAGGCCAGCGACTTAAAAACCGGAAATGATTTTTTTTTTTTTTGCGATGCCTCCATATATATATATCCTTTTCAGTTTTGGTTCAAACTCAATCTCTATCAAATTTAATTATCTTATCAAAACGTGCAGGATTTTATATTTTTATATTTTATATTTCACTAAATACTGTTAATATGCCCCGCCCTGACGGTGAGATCATTATCAAGTGTCGGATGGTACTGTTTTTAATATCATGTGTGATCATTTTTCTTCAGTTCTCTTTTATATTAATTTGTTTAAATTTTGTCTTAAAAACGACATAAAGAAATGTGTCTCTTTTGAATGATAAGACGATTTCAATAACAAAAACAATGTACATAATGTTGTCCTTATTTTATTATCTTAAAAACGTTTACATCACCATCATCTTCATCACCACCATCGTCATCACCACCATCATTGTCATAAGTGACATCTGTTCATACACTGAGCATATCTATAAATAATACCGACTTGATATAAGTTCGACTCGACAATCTGATTGGTGGCTATTTTCTTCGCTCGGAGAGTATGTCGGTCACATGACTCTACATGATAATGAACTTACAGAATAGCACTAACCAATCACAAAACAATAAGATGTCGATACGTTTTCATATTGCAAGGCAGATAGGTAAAACTAATATATATGTCTACGCCACTGCTTTAGTCCGGAATCCAAGGTCACATTCCTGTTTAAAATGCGGAAAATCATAGTCAAAATCCGATTCGAAATACGTATACAAAGTCAAGTTAGTCTCTAACAAACGGAATACAAGATCACATTTGGAGAGAGAGAATACCAGGTCACATTCCTTCCGAAATATGAAAAAGGTCGTATTCCGATCTGAATGCTGCCCTTTATAAATACCGTTTACATACGCTTAGAATGTCATTGCATCACAGAACGTGTACTGTTGCTATGCGTAGCAAAAGTCGTTTAGCACAAAATCTCGCGGAAACTTTGAAAATCTGTCTGGTTCGTCAGTGCCCTTGACAAGAGCTGCCGTTTTGATGATATATGATGATCCTATGTTCCTACCCTACTTCATAGTAAATCTAAATGCTGGCTTGTATTAATCCGAACTGTTTCAAGCTGAAATTTGAATCCGGTAAACCACCTCCGCGAATATCAGATTGTGTATGAACGATATCATTAATATCTCCATCACGTGACTCACAATCTACTTCATCTTCATCATCGTCATCGATTTCTACCTCCTCAGATTCTGGGTCGATGTCAAATGCATCTATTTTGTCGCCAGGTTGTGACTGATCCTCTTTCTGTGTGACGTAATGGCTATTCCCTTTATCTCCCTCCGCCATTCTCTTCTGTGATGTTTCTGATGAAGGCTTTTTGCTTCGTTTCCATTTCATTCTCCGGTTTTGAAACCATATCTTAACCTGAAAATAATAAGACATGTTATGAACTATTAAAAAGGTGTAGAAACTACTTAATTCAAATTGACCTCTAATTTAATAAATGGGTGTTATTTGGATTTCAGATTCGTTTGTTTTCCCATCCCATATGTGTCATATGTATGTTCAAATTGTTGAATATTGAATAAAAGTAATTAATTTAAAGTAAAGTGTTTCTATAAATGGACGAAATAATATAATTTTATCACTCTATTGTGACACTTTGTGAGAACAATATCTTAACCTTAAAATAACAAGACATCATGAATTATTTTTTAAAAAAGTTAAAACTACTTTCTTAACTCCAACGATCTTCTAATAAATAATTTACAAATTGTGCAATAGCCAAAATGTTCCATTAAATGCGACTACAAACGTCAACAAGAAAACAAATCATTGCATGCTCTCTAATGATGACGTATGCTCAGACAATGTCTAGATATTGCGGTAGGCTGAGAAGAGGGTGACTGAATTGCCGTCACCTGGAAATGCGCATCTCAACTTCTTAAACATACCGGATGTTAATATGTTTTAAAAATTAATTCGTTGGGGTCATTCTATGATTTGACTACGTCACAGAAGTAGTAGAAGAAGTCGCAAAGAACGTTCGTGTACATGTAGCAAACCCATTGATTGCGTCACTGACGCATGAAAGGCTTCGCGACAACCGCACTTGTGGCGTAACATGTTCATATGGAGAAAAGAAATATCCATCAATAGAATTCGGACAACGTGAGTATGTCATTAATAGATAGACCGTTAGGATTAGAAAACAAAAACTATAAGTGATATTAATAAGCATGTCTGGACATGAGGATGGCGTCTTCTGTCATTTAACAAAATATATCAACCGGAAATAAAGATAGTTTTTGACCGGATTTTTATTTCCGAAGGAACCAAGTTCTTCGTCAGTCTAAACTGTACTGGGATCCCTATATTTGTCTGAGTAGTGAGTCACAGACTCTTAAATCTGATAACTTTTGTATTTTGACAAGGTGTGAATCCGATACGGAGGTCCAAGTAATCATTAAGCAAGATCCCTGATAGCATAACCATGCATTCAAAAGTACAAATAACTCGTTCATTATGAGAATAACGACCGTGTGAAAAGCTACAAATCGAAACCCGAACAGTCAACTACCATCAGATGTCTATTGGTTAGCAAAGTCCTATCACTATCCTGCAGAAAATACCTTTCTTATTTCTTCGTGGGTGAAATTTCTGTCATTAATCAAGACTGTTGCTGGGACAACTCGAGATAAGTACGACTATAGGACAGCTGGATATATATAGATAATATACAGGTGTTGTTTGGGGTATTAAGAAGTGTATCCTTGTTTTCAGGTAAGGTGTAAATTTTAACCCCGTATGCTAATCCCTTCTTAAATGGAGGTTGGTGAATTTACAAAAATCGTATAGTCCCTTTCGATAAGTTACCTTGCAGTCCGGAATTAGCGTCCCAATATTAATCGCCCGGGCGTTTAGACACGACCACGTTCAATTGCAGTTTCTGTGTTTTCATTTGATAAAGAGTCAACACGAGGAAAATATGCAAGATAAAAGATTTGTATAGAGAGGAAGATTAGCCACGTTCTCCTACCTGTTTCAGCTATTTTATCATAACTTAAAGGTGATTAAGAAGTGAACATTTGCTAATGAGCTAAATTCCATGCCTAACTTTGACATATAAAGGCTATAGAACGACTGATAGATAGGTTTTAAATGACGAGGAAAGGAATGGGGGAAGTCGGGAAATAAATACTATAAGGTGGTACGATCACCTGTACTTGAGACATCTTAAAGAGTTATATCATGCTTATCATCGTATCGATGTGAATTGGACAACATTTTTTCTGTTATAATATCATCGATTTTCACTTATAAAAGCATTTATACATCATATTAGTTGTTCCTTTTGTAAGACATCAACGAGATTTGTTAATCTAATTAATCAATTGTAACCTTAATCCTATATAAAATAAAACATATATGTACGGATGAAAACCTGAAGTTGACGAAGAGTTTAAGTACTATAAAATATATAACGATAATCTTATAGTAAATTCAAATTCAAACCACGTCAAGCACAGCCTTACAATAATCGCATCAGTTTTTTTTCATCAAATATCAGCTTTGTCGTGTTGTTAAATCAAATGCAATGTCAAACTGCCCATTTTACCTCAAGATGTTCTTTAGAAATAGCCATTAATTTGTCCCAACCTCAAATAAAAAGATGTAGTATAGTGTTTATGACAGATGCTTGTATAGTCATAGTCAACACTTTGGCAATAGACTAAGTCTATATGTTGATCTTTCTATCTAAAAATACCTCAGTTTGGACTTCAAAATTCGAACGAAATCGAATTGTAGGCGAGCATATATGTAAATAATTGTAAAGTGTGAGACATCTATACACGACTAAATTAAATGAACGAATTGAATATTTCCCCTGTTCAGTTAGAGTTCATAACTCCGATACATACATGTAGTGCTGTCTTACAATCTAATAGCTAGCTTTCCTTTATTTCTTACTTCTTATTGTTTATTTCTTTGGGTACACATGTACAGTGTACTTACAAAAACTTTTTCCTGGTAAGTTTCATGTTTTCTCTATAGTTTTTGTTGTATTTTCTTTCAGCTGAAGGTCAGTGTTTCTGGAGTTACGAAATAGTAACATTATCATTATTATCTTCATTTTTTAAAAATTTATTCAACTGTGTCTGGGACCACTTCCGCCCAATCTATTTTCTGAACACCGTATGAATTCGACATTTTATTGCAGACTCAAAAATGACAAAATTGGGTTAGAACATCTATAAAAGCATTTGTGATATGGTGGAAGTTCAGAATAAGTTGTTAAAACTTTTTTTAATTATCCACCACTCGGCCATTATTATCATTTTTTAACTTTTGTCAATCGCGGCAAAGATAGATTTAATTAATAACATCTCGGGCAAACAGTGGAGAACTTGAAATAAGTCACCAAATAGAATTTGTCTTTAGATGGTTTGTGCATTATTTTATATCATTTTTAATATCATGCACTATGTTTTTATTTCTTTGGGTAAATCTTTATCCTAAATCATCTTGTTGATCCAGAGATAACTCATGTCAAGTCTCATCAAACTATATCAATAAAAGGATAAATAGACCCATGGTTTTGAGTTTTTGGACTTCTTCCATCTCAAAAGGAGTAGTTTTTTTATTCGTTCAGTTATCAAACTAATCCTATCTAGATACTGTTTTTTGCAGTATATAACCATAACGCAGATGTACTGCGTGATATCATACCTGTGTCTCCGTAAGCATTAGCGATGTCGCCACCTCGAACCGTTTGGGCCGTGAAAGGTATTTGTTCATCTTGAATTGTCTCTCCAACTCCAGCAATTGTTGACTGGTGAAGGCCGTCCGAGGTCGCCTAGTCTTACCGAGTAGACTGGACTGTTGCTGGGCTGAAACAAAACAGTACCATACATTATATAATCGGGGTAGCCTTGCTGGGTTGAAACAAAATAGTACCATATACTGAATAATCTGAGTAGACTGTTGCTGGGCTGAAACAAAGAAATGCCAATTACAACATCAAATTTGCTGGGCGGAAACACAGCAGTAACATTCACTTCATCAAATTGGTGTATATGTTGTTGCTGGGCCGAAACATAACACTGCTATATATAACTTACTGATTTGTAAGACTTTTAAAAAATTGTGCTTTCGTTTGTCAAATATTGGCACCTTTTTAAGGTTTATATTTAAACATCATAATTTATGTTTGTCCAGTACACAGAATATAGACCATCAACCATGCTACACATACGTGTATGTGTAGAATGTGTCGATCATCAATTTTACAACTGACATTCGAATTAAGCATTGACTTTATAATACCAAAATATGAGATAATACATATATATTATTTAATCTCTCATTAATAAAAAAAATGTAATGAGTAAATAAAGATAGGTCTTCAAACTAAATACATGTGTGTCTGATATTTATTAAAGAAAATACATTTACAAGAATTATTGCTATTTTCTCATTTGATAAAAGATGGACACCGTGATTAAAAAATGAAACCGAAAGGCAGTGCAGCAAAATATACAGTAGTGTAATCACCCTTAAAGAACACTCAAATGCTCTCACTATATCCTAATTTTGAGCATCCTGTTTTATTTGCCGTTCCAGAAATGCAATTACATTTGTCAACAATCCACTAATTAGCTCTCGAAATATAACGGAGAAGTTCAAATAAAGACATGCTTGGTTAGGGAAGGATCATAACAGTAACCGTGGCTTCTGTGAAAACGTAGTCATGTGGAAAATCGGAATTCACATAAATTCTATTAATGTATTGGCTGCGGTGGGGAGAACAGATTCTAATGAATAAAGAGGAGACTTATCAAGATGTTCTCTTTATCCATGATTGGGGCCATAAACAGGGTAATTTTAAGCATACTTGGTTTTATTGATCAGTGTATTTAAATATTTTTGTTTGTATCTTCCCGTAAATTTCATTGGATTTATTTCATTTGTTTCTTTTAATGTATATATATTTTGATCACTTTAAAAAACAAGTGTGAACGATTACGTTACACCAGTTTCCCTCTCTGGTACCTCTTTTGGGTGCTCCCTTACATATGCAGACAGAATAAAAGCACTTCTCATCCTGTTGTTTCTTTAGAATTAATGAAATTATCTTTCCTCGGACAGATTTTCCACCAATGATTAAAATCGTTTTCCTCGTCATTGTGATGATTAATTTCGGAAACATTTCCTTCCGCTTCATTTCCAATTAAATTGTAATTACTTAACCAGTCGGCGACGACAACAGAGCTTTTCTTGAGTGGTAACCGTTAACTATAAAGAGCTTGAACTTAACCTCGGAAATATGGCGATACATTTCACACCGGTAAACTTTTTATGTTTAACGTGGTGCAGGAAATTAGACAAATCATCTCTACAATGAAATCAGATCACTGAATCAATATCTAAAAAAATATTACTGTTCTTTGAATCGAGATAAGTATCCCACGATTCGGTAAGATTCGATAAACCGAAACAATATTCTCTATTTAATTTCAGTCTGGATTTGTTTGCTTTCAGAATCCACTATGTAAAAATCTACAAACATTATCATTATTTAACGAATAGCATTTTTCCTTTTTTAATGAGGAAGGCAAGTTTGTGAATTGATTAAACATAATGTCATTAATATGTGAATGTATACCATATGTCTTTTTGTTTCAATGTAAACGCAATGAACTGTGATTGAAATTTGATATAAACTATTTCAGTTAAATTTGATTCACCAATTTACTCTCTACTTCTCCGCCATGTCCATAACATAGCAAGGGGAAAGTGCAGGACAAATTTATAAATTCAGCACATCAAATTACAACTAAATATGTGTAAACTATTTTCCTTTTTAAATCTATTGTATGTATAAATCAATATTATGAGATTATGAAATAAGAAATATTGCTTCAAATAACCAACACAAGCAGACTTAACAATATGACTTTGTCTTGGTAGCAGCTATTTTTATAATAGAAAAAGAAAAACCTAAAATATCGGTAGATCCTGGACTACAGGCCATGTCATACATCTTCGTCGTCTTGATTAGAAATAAAGATTTTTTTATTGAAAATGCTATTTTTATTAATTGTTATGAATGAAATGTAAGTATGTTATTTAAATCTTTTCACAGAAATCCAAATATGGTCATATTTATCACATAGATATTAAGTTAACAGAATGAACTGAAATTTTCCAATTCTTTCTTGTATAAAATGAAGAAACAAACTTGGTTGAGTGTTTACATAGAGAGAAACACGTCACAGAAAAGAATGTTAAACTTCCAGACATTGAATTATAAGACAAAGCAATTTTGTGCAGGAAAAATCTAAAGTTTAATTTTAAAGAGCCAGAGGTGAGACGATTCGACGAAAACAAAATCTTGACCCTTCGAGCGATCAACTTGAAATTGCAATGTATGTAATTCTTGTAGACAAAACCACTTGTATTTTTACAACGAGTTGAATACTAATGCGTAACATTCCATTCCAAAATCATTCAATTAAGTATCGATTTTTGCCTATTAAGTCTGGCAGGCTTTTTGTACATTACATCCATGGCTGTCCGAAGTGGTGCTTGTCAAACTTAAATGAATTTTATCTTTACTTTTTGTGATTACTTTCTTGATATTAAATTCAATTCTACTATCTTTTCTATTTAGGCGATAAATGTACCGACCCTGTCAGTGGCTGTAAATCTCGGTCATCATGATTGCTGTGGCTGTTTTTGATTGATTACACGCGCTGAGTGATGTCAGCCGGTAGTACAGCACTACAATACTGTTTGTCGTTGTGCTTTTTAATCTTCGGTTTTAATTTGTAGGATCAAGTGGATTTAATTCTGGGGGAAATAAGTTGATTAGTTAATTTGCCCTATCGTTAGTAACTTAAGGAACCATTCTGGAGAGCTTTCCTCGCCTTCCCTTTGTGTTCCGACCACAGACGCTATTGAGAAGCCAATTCAGTCCTTACTGCAGAAGAGCCCGTCTCCTTTTCAGCCTTTCTCATGCAGATTTGATTAATCTGGCGAGCTTGCCCTATGGTGGCAAAACCAAATACAAATTGTCACTAATGTTAGGCTAAATCGACTGTCTCGGAGGCTAATAGCTGGCGAATTGAAAATTGAATTAGCAAATTGCGCTCCTTGCGCCCGTTACAGCGCCGTTTTAATCATGTCGTGATAAGGCAGTGCTGTTGACATTTACAAATGAAATACAATCTACCAGATGCCGCCAATACACTCTGTACATTCGTAATGAAATTTTACTACCAAATTTTCCCGTCGTTTCTTCGCCTCTTTCCTGGCTAATGAATTACGCTTGGTCTCCAGTGCATTACCGGCAAATAGCGATACAGAGACAAACTATAGGAACGATTTCTGTCGTTTAGGGGCAAGGCGTGACGAGAGAGAGGATGAAATGACCAATTCCTCACTGGATGATGGCCAATTTGCGTCGATGAATTCTATCATTGTTGGGGGTAACTAGTCGTGTAATTTAAGAATAACATTCCTCTAGAAAGATGTATGAAATATCGTGATGATGGGAAAGCCACTTTAATACTCCAATGGCAAGACGATACCGATTGAAGAATGGGGTCCTCTTGCGTGGTGCTATCAGAGGAATCCTTCCATGTATCTAACTGGGTAAATTTGTGTTTCCGGCAATCAAAGTTTAAAATCTCTCTTCTTTGTGATATCCTTAAATGGGGATTTGAAGAACATCCATTACAAACTAATAACAATATGAAGCAGATTGTTCAGTCATTCATAAAACAACTAAAGGGTCTTAATCTAATTAATAGACAACTATTTCAACCAGAAACCCCCAACCCCTATCCCCCACCCCAATCCTCCTGTATTCGTTATCTGTCCTCCTTTCACCTCTTCTTTCATCGTCTATTAGTTTGTCATTTATAGCAATGCGTAATGTATTGTCGGGAGAGGAGCCTAGGAAGTTGTAAGAATTAATTTGATGGAACATCTCTCAATTACAGTTTTCTGCTTTTCAAGACTTCTTAATATATATCCATTTATCTTTTTTAATATAATTCTTGAATAATTTGATACATAAAGAATAGTTTGTACTTTGTGTCATTAAAAGCATCTGGTAAAGGGTGCGGCGTACTCAAGCTATGTGACACAAAAACAAAATGGCGGCGCTACGTTATTCGCTCTAGTCGAGCTGACGGCACGAATCAGCAGTACGGATCCATGTGTTATCTTCATTAATTTCGTATGAAATGAAGTAATAATGAATAAGATATCGTAATATTTGTTAACTTATGAGATAATAATAAGTCGTACTCGTGCAGGCCGCAATGGATCGTTCTCCAATGTCGGACGAAGACTTTATCGGTCATAGTTGCCGCTATCGGTCATCTTTAATGATGTACAACTTAAGATAAAAATTATCAATCAATAGACGATCACGTCGTTCTCTTAACATAGTACTACCGTATTATGTCATAGACTTAAGATTTGGTACGGAATTACAGATAGGAACGTATCTTGTGAGATCATGCTTAAACCGTGAGAGAATGCCATTGAACTTGTAGCATGCCTACATTAACTGCTACGTGGCATTTCTGAGGACAGAACACCGTAATATGCATTTTATATCATTTTTTATTACCAACAGACATATAATGAAAATTATTTAATCAAGAATCATTTTACGATAGTTTCAGTCAAATATTTCAAAAAATACTTGTGTAAAACGGCAGATTAGTTCATATCATTTAAATCAACGGTAATTTAAACCAAATTTCGTGTTATTTTATCTGTTTAAAGATAGTTATTACTAGACCCGATGGATAAGTACTGTATGTGCTCCTCGCCCTACTTAGTAATCGGAACTGACTAATACCGCACACGGAAA